ATTCCATACGCAGGAAAATCATTAATAGTCCACATCAAAGCAGCACGCAATCTAAAGTTTTGCTTAGTTGATATGTCGTATGTTTCAACACCTTCATGCCATAATAATTTTAGATCATCAATCAACGGCTGCAAATATACATCAATTAAACCTTTTGGATTACTTGGACCCGGAACTATGCAAGTTAGGAACAAATATGGACTTGTCATACACATTTCAGGTGGAAGATTATATGGTGTAACAAAGACAGGCCAACATGAATATGGTGCAGCAGAGACAGAAAATGGAGTGAATCCATCTGCACACAAACCCAACCTAACATTTCTTGGTTCATTAGCGAAGTCTGGAAATATCCTATCAAAATGCTTCCACGCTTCTCCATTCGAAGGATGATACAAAACACCAGGCGGCCTTCTATTTTCATGGTGCCATCTCATATGAGGAGCAGAACTCATTGATGCATATATCCTCTTTAATCTAGGTATAATTGGTAAGTAATGCATCTTCTTAACTGCAACTGTCTTACCTTTGGCATTTGTAACTTCCTTAAAACGAGACAGTCCACAAAATTTGCATGCTTCTAGAGCCGCATCATCTTTATAATATAACATACAACCATTTTCACAACAATCAATTTTTGTTGAGGAAAGTCCTAACTTGGAAATCAATTTCTTTGCTTTATAGTAATCATTCGGTAAGTTAATGCTCGGATTAACTTCACGCATGAGCCCAATTATAGCATTCATGCCCGCTTGAGAAATATTCCAATCTGATTTAATAGTTAGTAATCTAACTGCAACAGACAACTCAGAGTGCATTGAGTCTTTATAGAGTGGACGACTAGCCGACTCTAATGATTCATAGAAGCGCTTTGCCTCATCATTAGGAGGCTCAACAACATTTTGTTGGGATTGAACCCCTGGGTAAAAATCAAAAGTATCTGACACTATTTCATGTAATCGAGAATTCTCAACATTATTCTCCATTTGTGTACTTCTCTCACCACTAACTAGATTTTAAAAATGAACATCACCAACACTACAATAGTTCTCTCCATGAACAGTCCACACATAATAATTTTCCCTAAACCCCTTGCTATAAAGATGAACTTTAATATTTTTCGGTTGCAACAACTTTGTACACTTGCATTTCACACAAGGACGCCTAATTGTTCCTTCGTTACGAAATTCAGGAAGCGTTTTTGCATGAGCAATAAATCCTTTAACACCTTCAATAAATTCTTCCTTTAATCCACAACGATTAGGATGATTCCTATCGTACATCCATCTACGATGTTCACGTTCCATCTAGTACACAAATACACACAAACAATGAATAGACTTAGAACGATTTATTTGTTTCAAGTTAGTTTACAATTATTCTTGAATAGTATACCTTAAAGAACTCACTTAGTTTACAATTAATTATGAATAGTATACCTTAAAGAACTAACTTTTATTCGTCTTTTTATAAGTCAAGAAAAGACTATGGTTCTAGATCAAGTTACAATGAATGAAAAGTACTTTTTCATAGAAATGCTCCTATTAAGTTCTTGGAATCAGTTTAAAAAGTCAAACCAAGATTCTAACACATTGGTTATCATCCATAAATAAATTTAAACTTGGAGGATAGATATAATATTCACAATAAAGAATTTTTATCAAGGTAAAAGCAATATAAATTCATGTAGTTGTTCTAGCAATTTAACAACTTAACTTACATTTAACAATTGAAACCAACTTAGAGATTAGCAAATGAAGTTACCTCAAGACTTATAGCCTGATTTTGTCTTCTTTCATACTTTTGTATCTTCACTTCCTGGTCACTTAAAAAGGCCAGAAACTTGTAAGCATATATTCCATGAAAACTGTTTGGAGAAATGGCTATTAATGTACAAGGATAGAAAAGAAACTTTTCCACGTACAAACTTAATCAGCAGAATTCCATTGATGTCATTATCAGAATTCTTGTTTAGAGTTATATAAGAAAGCTAGCAAACAATTAGTTGATCCAACAAGTGTTTTACTTATTCTTTGAAGAAAAATTATTTGGAACATGCAATGACACTGCTTAGACATTAACCTCCAAAGGAAAGCACAAGTGTGATGTGACCATGATTATTGCAGCTAACATGTCTACTTTATATTCTCCTATTTTGATGTCAGAAAATTACATATTTTTCTAGTTAATTGATATAACAAGCTAAGTCTTATTAGTAAGCAAAGTATGGGCAGCAGAGGGCCATCACCAATGGTTCCTTCAATAATTGTTGGGTTTCTTAGTCTGCTCAATTTTTGGCCAACAATTTCTAGCATAGGTGGCCAACAATCTGATGGGATAAATTTACTTTTTGTTCTTCTTTTTTAACAAGTTGATATAAATATCACTTGTGGTAGAGATGGAATGAACAGAGTGTAGAGCAGATTCTTTAGGCAGAAAGCAAAATTTGTATTGTGACTTGTAAACAGGCTAGCGTATGTACAATAGTAATACATATAAAGAAACTTTTATGCCCAATTCCTTCAACATATATAATCTGCAAGCAAATGCACCAGGCCTCAGGGCCGGCTCTAAAGTTATGAATAGTAAGGCTTGTGCCTTAGGCCTCCAAAAGTTTTTTCTTCACACACTAAGTAGTATTTGTATATAGAAGTGAAAGTCCAAGAGGAATTCAAGGCGTTATTTTAAAAAAAAATTAAAATAAGACCCATTTGGTTCAATGGTTTTACTTCAATCTAGACTTGTTCCTGCAATGAATTTCACGAAGCAAAACAACTAATAAGACATTTGGATCTACCTTTCATCTATTTCAATTTCCAGAAACTAATAATTATGCCCAACTAATTAGATACTGTTAATGATTTTAATTGGCTTTTTTTATTATCAATTACTGCTTCATACAGCTGCCGGAGAGCGAGAATCAAAGTTTTCAGCTATATCCACAGTTAAATAATAGCTCAACGATACATCTAGTTTCTACAGAGTAGATAGCATTGGATTAAGGACCAAATGGCACTAGATCTCCTTCTCCACTTTTAATTGAATTCCACATATATTACTAAAGATAGAAATTTGAGTATATGCACAGTTGTTGTGACTTTAATTTTACAAGTCATAAGAATTTTAAACAACATTAACTCACCCTTTCTTGTATAAATAATCTCCATCTATTTGCAACAAGAAATAGACATCTTTCCCATCATGCAAAGCCTAATTAAGAGCTAAATCAAGAACCCTAGGTTCAGAAAACAAGTATGAGAAATGACTAACTTAAACTAGAACCCTAGGTTTTGAAAAATCAGAAAAGGGAGAAATTAAAGAAAGGGGGGAGCGGTATATATAGAGAGAGAGGAGGGGGGGGGGGGGTACGGAACGTTACCGGAGTTTAGCGTAGTGA